GGCAGACAACGTTCAATTCCCGGCAATGCGATCAACCAGACCATCGGCCAAGTCAGCAGGCACCCCACGAGGGAGGCAGTCGAGCTGACAGCCCATGGCCGTTTCAGGCTGACGGACGGCCGACGCTTGTCGTCATCACGGTTGGCTGCCCAGGGTCAGATTTGACTGACGTCCTGGTGATGCGTACTATAGGAGTGATCCCTAGAAGTACGATCTTAAACGGCCTGCACATCCACCTACAGGCCCATCCATCTCCCTATCTGCCTCTCTTTCTCTACTCTTACAATTTTTCATACACCTTCAAATCATTGTCTCTCCACAGCATTCCTTCCCTACAAGCTACAATGCCTCATCTATTTTCAGCACACATCAGCCTATAACTCCTCCCCTTCTCTCAGTCCTTTGCTCTGCCTCGCTGTCTACTTAAACCAACCTAGTAATATAATAGTGGCAAGCATTGTCAACTGGCAGAGATGTTGCTGACTGACAGGCAGACAGGCGGACAGGCTGGCAGATGAAGTCAGGCGACTGAAGAGGACTCTTGCTGCTTCACCTTGCATATCTTCTAGGCTTGAAGACCTTGGCAGCCATGGCTAACAGGAGCTCCAGTACGCAAATGTAGGCATGTGAGTAGGGAGGCCTGATGACTATAGGCCGGCCATAGAGACTGGGACAAAGTAAGGACAAAGGCCAAAATGCCTAGGAGTAGCAGGATGCGCAGACATTCAGGCCAGATTACTTTCACGACTAGAGACATGGGGCGAACAACATCGTTTCATGTTGGGGCGTGATGAGGCACATTGTTAGCAGTCCTGCTAAAGTCACAGATTTCACTCTTTCCTTCCTTCACTTCTGATTCCAAAAGACGCAGTGCAATTAGGCTCCGCCTTAGACCACATGCACAGAATGTCAGACCTCAGGGCATCCTCTTCTGCCTGCAAACACCGATTGCATGCATTTCAACCATCGTCGATTGCACTGCCAATATTCTCATCTGGCCTTCCACGGTGGCCTTTGGGTGCTCGCATGACTAGTTATGGCAGAAATGGCATGGCCTACAGGAAGTGGCTGAGGCGAAGGCTCATTCGGACAGGTAGGTGTGCATTAGTGTGCGCTGTACTGTGACGGTTGTTGGCATGGGAGGAAGAAGGCAGCGTGTGTGTGTGTGTGTGTGTGTGTGGAAGGCCAGAACTGCTTCAAATTCAAGTGCATATCATGGGATGGACGGTGGAGAGGAAGGCAATACGGCAATGGCACTGACTGCCATGACCTCGTCCGCCTCCGCCTCCTCATGCTCCAGCTGCCACCTTATAGAGGACAGTAAATTTCGCATTTCAGTATTACAGTGGGTGGTGAAAGGATACGGTAGGAGATGGGGAGCGGAGAGGTGACATGCATATTCTGTGTCTCGCCTTCACCCAACCCGTCGCCCATGTGCCTGCAGATTCACTTCCGTCTTTGTCTCCATGGAAGGCCAATGTATGGCCAGGGGTTCTGCCTAGCCCTATGGATGGGTTGTGGCGATGGGGTGTGTGGGCGTGAGACGAGGGATGGGAGCCGTGAGGATATGGGATGCGATTAGGATGAGGAGGAGGAGGAGGAGGAGGAGGTGAAAGAGAGGCAGAAGTCCGGCATTCAGGAGACAGGTGATGGAGGAGGCAGTGGCAGCAGACAGCACCCCCGCCCGCGACACCAGCGCCAAGGAAATTATATTTGCAATGATAGAAGGAGCCAACCGCTCAGTACTCGGCCGGCCCATCCACTGGGCTTCACCCTGCTGCCGAGGCAGACAACGTTCAATTCCCGGCAATGCGATCAACCAGACCATCGGCCAAGTCAGCAGACACCCCACGAGGGAGGCAGTCGAGCTGACAGCCCATGACAGTTTCAGGCTGACGGACGGCCGACACTTGTCGTCAGGGTCAGATTTGACTGACGTCCTGGTGATGCGTACTATAGGAGTGATCCCTAGAAGTACGATATTAAACGGCCTGCACATTCACCTACAGGCCCATCCATCTCCCTCTCTGCCTCTCTTTCTCTACTCTTACAATTTTTCATACACCTTCAAATCATTGTCTCTCCACAGCTTTCCTTCCCTACAAGCTACAATGCCTCATCTATATTCAACACCCATCCGCCTATAACTCCTCCCCTTCCCTCACTCCTTTGCTCTGCCTCGCTGTCTACTTAAACCAACCTAGTAATATAATAGTGGCAAGCATTGTCAACTGGCAGAGATGTTGCTGACTGACAGGCAGACAGGCGGACAGGCTGGCAGATGAAGTCAGGCGACTGAAGAGGACTCTTGCTGCTTCACCTTGCATATCTTCTAGGCTTGAAGACCTTGGCAGCCATGGCTAACAGGAGCTCCAGTACGCAAATGTAGGCATGTCAGTAGGGAGGCCTGATGACTATAGGCCGGCCATAGAGACTGGGACAAAGTAAGGACAAAGGCCAAAATGCCTAGGAGTAGCAGGATGCGCAGACTTCAGGCCAGATTACTTTCACGACTAGAGACATGGGGCGAACAACATCGTTTCATGTTGGGGCGTGATGAAGCACATTGTTAGCAGTCCTGTTAAAGTCACAGATTTCACTCTTTCCTTCCTTCACTTCTGATTCCAAAAGACGCAGTGCAATTAGGCTCCGCCTTAGACCACATGCACACCATGTCAGACCTCAGGGCATCCTCTTCTGCCTGCAAACACCGATTGCATGCATTTCAACCATCGTCGATTGCACTGCCAATATTCTCATCTGGCCTTCCACGGTGGCCTTTGGGTGCTCGCATGAGGAGTTATGGCAGAAATGGCATGGCCTACAGGAGGTGGCTGAGGTGAAG